ATATATATATATATATATATATATACAGCTATATACAGCCTATAGCACCCCAATATGATTCCCTATCTTATGTGTGTGGTTTTAGAGGCAACCTTATCAGCTCTTGGGCTAAACGAGCCTAGGAGACTGATGAATTGCACTTGACATTCGACTTGGCGATATTAACACATCAAATCAGTAATTTGTAGAGCACCGTTGCTTGGGCTGTTTTGAATTCAAGTCGAATGACTTTATCTCTAAGCTCGTATGCCCGTGGCTCGAATCCCACTTATGATAAATGTATACCTTGAGCAAGCTTAAAACCGAAGTGATCAAGATATGATGGTACCTGTTCTAGTCTTATGACAATCAAATTTGATGGAAACATTTAATCCCTTTTGTCATTAATCGTGTGTGGCTCTACTTTTTTCTCTGATTTGTCGAGAGGAAAAATTGGAGTTTCACAGAAAACATTTTTAGCTATACCACGTGCTTTCGATTTCACTCTATTTTAATGAATAAAGATGCTAATCTACAATCTTCTAATTTTATTAATGTTAGTAATACCTTGCCTGTATTCACAGGACTCAGGCCTATATTGGCTATTTAGCCAAGTGGGATATTTAAACATTTAATTTCTGTTTTGATGTCCATCTTTTATCTCTTATTGATACTTTTATCAATAACCGTGAATAAATTTTCCTTTCCTTGGAGTCTTATGGCTTTTAGAGAATTATTGTCAACGAATGTAGAAAATACATATTTTGCAACTAGACTTCCGTTTAGAGAAGTTGATTGACCTCGTTTTCGCGACTTAGTCTTGTTGTCAGGGCGACTTACTTGAACCCATCTTGTCCGAAGTCCTCTGCAATAGTATTTATCATAATTCTCAGCATCAGACCGTGGACTTGGTACATTCCCAGACATTTCGCCGGCATCATTAGTGAGTCTTGCCATTCTCCGCACCAAGCTACAAAGTTCTATTTCTGTCCTGGCCCATCTATCTACTCCTTGCCTTTTTATCCAACTCCTGCTTTTCACAACTTCTGACGAATATAGTGTGGCCTCATCACACCTGCTAGTCATATCTTCGATAAAATTATGTTTGTTTTTGGTTCTAAATAATTTATCAATGTTATACTTCTTAAGTAGCTTTCGCAACAATTATTAGAATTAAAATCAAAAAGTTGAAGTAAGGATTCACAAATCTACTCATAAACGAAATATGAAAACACTAATTTCAAATTTCCAGAATATGTGCCATTTCACTACTGCCTTAGAAACATAAGAAATAATGAAATCGTCCCAAATTTTAGCGGTCAGTTTACTTGTCAATAAACTAGTTCAACTTACGACATGCGAGTTATCTTATAGACAAAAAATAGATTCTCCCTTGAAGAAACAATTCGTAATTTGGCCTATCACAATCCAAATTTGTCTGCTACTGTAGATTTGTGCGAATAAGTTCTATTCGCACCGTCCCATGGCCCTGATAAATCTATGCTGAGTTTATGCTTGTTATCTGGTGGAAACCTTCAGAGCAGCACACGATGCTTTACGATATTTCACCAAGGATGTCCAACCAAGCCATGAGATGTCTTATTAACATGACACGATTAGGCAAATGAAAAAGGTAAGATTGCAACCAGACATTTTTCTTGTCTTCGTGCCTGTTGTTTTGCTTATGACGATGTCCGTCACATTACGGCTTAATAAAACTGACACACGCAAACCTTATGCTATTATGCATATTCTCGGATCATTGTGGCAAAGTGGCAGTAATACCCAAAAATGGTTTAGATATGCAAACACACCTCGCCCAGGATTTTACAGTTGCCACTGCTGTAAATTGTAATATTTTAATTGATATGAGTCTGGGGCCTTGGCGATTAATATTTCGGAATTTTAATTTTATTATTATAAACAGTAGTTAGCTGATCACCAAATGAACATGTACTTGTATAGGCACCCATCAATAGATGACAATTTACCTAGAGCATGACACTTCCTTAAGGGCCTTTGAACGGTTAGCTTGCCTGCTTACTGCCTTAGAGGTCAGTTTCATGAGGGTCATAAAATAACACCTTTATGCGACTGAATAGCGCTTGCTTTTTTGTTGCCTTTGGTGGTGTTTTTTGGCCAGAATCATACTTGGACCGTCTGGGAGTCTGAGTACTCCTATATCTGTCTATGCATGCAGTCATCTATCATATGGTTTTTATCACAAGATTTTTTGAGCTATTCTCAACATACAGCCGCCTCAACACTGTCTTTGTCGCCATTGCTGTGAATAATTCGTCGAAATGTCGGGGATCCTAGTCTGTCGGCGAAGATGGGTGAAAGACTAGTCAGTGTGGAGGCCGCAAGCCTGGGATGCAAGGCATCGGTAAATGAGGGCTTGGTTTAGTAGATACGCAAAAGTTTGAGTGCAGGCACCTGTTCGTGGCGACCGTATCTGGCTCAAAAATAGGTGAATGTGCATCCAAATCAGCGGTTTCTGTATTCAAGTAAATTTATTTGCAAATAACTTAATTAGATATTGGCAAATGTATACAGCCAAATCGAATAGCGAATAGTAAAATATTCATCTTGGAGCTACTTCTATAATCTTATTTTATTTTCTATTCGTCTAGCATTGGTCTTAATGAAACTTTAACTATATTAATTTCTACGAAGAGCATCCTTTGATTTTGTTGGTCTACCACAATCCAAGTAATGCGTTAAATGTATTTTCCATTAATGCAATGCTTATTACGTAATATAATGCTACGACAGATTAATTCTATTTAAATATCATACTTCATGTGAGAAATGAATCTCAGTTGGGTTTGCAATTTAGCATTTTTATACGAGTTATGTTCACCCTATTTCGTTGAAGGTAATGGACTGGCAGTTGAATCTTTCCACAATTATATGCAAATTGGTATGCTTATCATAATTTTTTGGCTTTTTGACCAGCCGAAGGACATTCAGGTGTCAACCAACTTGGCGGGATGTTTGTCAACGGTAGGCCCCTGCCGGACTCCACGCGCCAACGCATTATTGAACTGGCTCACTCAGGTGCACGTCCTTGCGACATTTCACGCATTCTGCAGGTGTCGAATGGATGCGTCTCTAAGATCCTCTGTCGCTACTACGAGACAGGGTCCATCCGGCCCAAGGCGATTGGTGGCAGTAAGCCGCGTGTGGCTACCAATTCGGTTGTGATTAAAGTGGCCCAATACAAGCGCGAGTGTCCTTCAATTTTCGCCTGGGAGATCCGAGATCGCCTAATACAGGATTCCGTGTGCACTCCGGAAAATATTCCTAGTGTAGGTTTTGCGTTTTGATGACAAATAATGCCAATTGTCTAGTTCTTGTATTGCCATTTATATACTTTGATATAAAAAAGCTGTACTAAAAATCTTAACTGATTAATATAATTAGTTAGACCTCGTGTATGCTACTTGGTTGCATTTTCAGAGAGACCTAGTGGAACG